GAACAGACGGTCCCCAGCGTCACTCTCTCCCACGAATCAACCAATTTACAACTATTAAAAAGCAATGACAGCCAAGCTGGGTCTGCTAGAGCTCAGGTGAAGAGGAGGAGAGACCTACAGAGAGTGTGAAAGTGAGAGAAGCCATGATGAGAGAAAGAAAAAATACCACTCTGACCATTTTGTGCTGAGGCTGCTTTAAGGCTGGAGCTGCTGAGTGCATGGAGCAGGAGACAGCAAAAGCTGCAGCTGTGACCTTTGGATGGAGTTACTTGGAGGCAGCAGGGGAGAAGAGGGCCTTGGTGGCCCCCAGGCCAGTAAGACCACTAATAGGGTTCCTGTGGACCCACATAGGACTGAGGAGACACAACAACTGAAAAAAAGGAGCCACTCAGGGGCTGGTGAGTCATTGTAGAGGACTGTCACATGGCCCGTCCCACGGGCAGTGTTTGCAGCACAGGTGGTGGGGGAGAGGGGCCCACCAGGGGAATACTGGGGCACAGCAGGCATGGCTGATCTGTACTCCAATCGGCAAAAGACCACTCAGAGGAGACTGATCGGGAATGTAGAGTTGCATGGGGGGACTCAGGCCCAGATCGGAGTTTCTGCACAACCCAGGTGCACTGGGTCTCTGGAGAGCCAGAAGTACCTATAAAGTGAACCATTATAACCTGAGCTGCACAAAAAACCTTGCCTAGGGAAGCAGCAGCAAAGCAGCAACTTCGCTAAACCAAAGAGCTCAAGTACTGGTCCCCACAGGAAGGTCCCCCACTTTAGAAGTAAGCAAAGGACAAAAACTTAGTTCCAGCTCAGACACACTGCCAGTGCCTCAGGCCTGCTCGGGGACCCAAGGCATGGATCTGAGGACCAGACCCCCCTCCCACAACCACGCACACCACCAATGCCAAAGGAGCATGACAAAAACATCACTTCCACGTGGGTCGCCCACCACAGCCACCACAATAACCATGGCTGCCACAAAAGTGGCTAGATGCCACAAACACCACACAGATGGTCCACCAGCCACTGGAGTGCTTTCACACAAGGACAGTCACCAGCAGAGACAAAGAAAAGAAGAGGATGTCTCTCCACAAAGCCCATTCCAGAGTGACAGAAGAAGCATCTGCTCTATGATAATATTGGGGGAACTGATCACATCTCTCAGCATTGGACAGATCATCTAGGCAACAAATCAACAGAGTAACCATTACTGTTTCAGAAGGAGAGAAGAAATCTAGGGTAATTAGAGGGGTGAGGGGAGAGGGGGATGGGGAGAGACTGAACAAGGGGCATAAAGAATAAATACGATTTGTAACAATAAAAAAAAGAAATAGTATTTTGGTAAAATAATTGCATTTACTTTTACAATTATCTTCTGTTTATGCAAAACTTTTGGCTTCTCAGAAGTCTGAAGTTTAAAAGATGAGTTGATTTAAAGAAAACTATTAAAAACTGTTTAAAAAAACTATTTTAAAAAAACTACTAAAGATATAGCAGTACAGGTGTTGCACAGATATAGTCACAACCATCAAAGTAGACAGCAAATGACTTGAGTTCGGGAGATGCGGCCATAAAATTTGGGGAGAATACTCTTTGGCTGATGGGTCTAATGACTGTCCAACTTGAGAGTATCTGGTGAGAAGAAAGGAAATCTACACTGCTTCCCACCCCTGTCCCTGACTATACATTCATCTCCCTCTCCCCAGGCTACTGGGCCCCCAAGCCTGGGAGGGAAGGAGAGGAGGGGAAGAAGGAGGACGAAGCAAGATGGCAGCAAACGGCGACCAGCCATTCTGAAGGGGGAAGATTAGGGTCTCCCAAGCTCTACGCATGAGAAGTGCTTCTCGGTTGTCTATTGCCTNCAGAAGAAGCATCTGCTCTATGATAATATTGGGGGAACTGATCACATCTCTCAGCATTGGACAGATCATCTAGGCAACAAATCAACAGAGTAACCATTACTGTTTCAGAAGGAGAGAAGAAATCTAGGGTAATTAGAGGGGTGAGGGGAGAGGGGGATGGGGAGAGACTGAACAAGGGGCAGAAAGAATAAATATGATTTGTAACAATAAAAAAAAGAAATAGTATTTTGGTAAAATAATTGTATTTACTTTTACAATTATCTTCTGTTTATGCAAAACTTTTGGCTTCTCAGAAGTCTGAAGTTTAAAAGATGAGTTGATTCAAAGAAAACTATTAAAAACTGTTAAAAAAAACTATTTTAAAAAAACTGCTAAAGATATAGCAGTACAGGTGTTGCACAGATATAGTCACAACCATCAAAGTAGACAGCAAGTGACTTGAGTTCGGGAGATGCGGCCATAAAATTTGGGGAGAATACTCTTTGGCTGATGGGTCTAATGATTGTCCAACTTGAGAGTATCTGGTGAGAAGAAAGGAAATCTACACTGCTTCCCACCCCTGTCCCTGACTATACATTCATCTCCCTCCCCCCAGGCTACTGGGCCCCCAAGCCTGGGAGGGAAGGAGAGGAGGGGAAGAAGGAGGATGAAGCAAGATGGCAGCAAACGGTGACCAGCCATTCTGAAATGGGAAGATTAGGGTCTCCCAAGCTCTACGCATGAGAAGTGCTTCTCGGTTGTCTATTGCCTTCCCACAGCCAAAGGGAAATCTCTACGTGAAAAGAAACATGGATCACAGTTTGGAAGAGGAAGGGTGGAGTAGCTGGAGGCCTTCACACCGTAGTCTTGTTCTGAATAAGAGCAACATATTTCAGGTAGAAAATGTAGGTGTAGACACTATCCAAGTGCTCTTTGAGAAGAGGAAGGGTGGAGTAGCTGGAGGCCTTCACACCGTAGTCTTGTTCCGAATAAGAGCAACATATTTCAGGTAGAAAATGTAGGTGTAGACACTATCCAAGTGCTCTTTGCTACAAGGAGAAGAGGGAGGAGGGGGAGGAGGAGAAAACTAGGATGCGGGGAAGGAAAAGGGAAAGAGGTAAGGTAAAGGGGATGAGGAGGAGGAGGCCCCAGGGATGAGGACATGAATGCATGGAAACAAAGACCGCTTCTGCGCCCCACCGAGTCATGGAAATGTGCCTTGTGATCCAAGCTCATCTTTCCACATCTGTGCAAAGTTCAAATGCAAGTGTTTAGGAAAGCCTTTACAAAAGCAAAAATATCCTCTTAAGATTTCTTTCCCCTATAAAATAGATAGTCGACTACCAGAGGCTAATAGAGCATGTAACCAGGCATCTGTGCACACACAACAGGCACCCTGGCATTGCCCAGGTCTGGCAGTGCCAGGCAGCTGCAAGATATAGTGCAGCACTCCAGCAGGAAAGGTACATGAATAGAGCTAAGGCTGAAATCAGAGAAATGACACAGGCAGCCTCAAAGGATAGTTGGAATATCAAGACTTGTCTTTGCTCTCAGAAGCTTCCTCCAGGAAGAAGCAAACCTCCCAGCTAATAGAGCCCCTGGCTGGGCTAGCAAAAGGACAAACCCCATGTGCCTGATGCTGTGTGGCTTCCTACTTGCCTCTGCCGGAAATCTTCCGAGGAAAGTAGTAATGCAGCACAGCCAGGCAGCCAATGTCTCTGGCAAACTCCTCCTCTACTTTGCTGGCTTGTTTGAAACTCTTTTTCTATAAAAACTTGAAGTCTTGATGGGTGCTCATTAGATTAAATCAAGCTTGGATTCTGCAGCTGAAAAGCAGAAGCCTCCCTCAGCCCATGTTTAGAGGCTGTTGGGGTGGAGTTCCATGCGAGGTCCTCATTGCCTGATGACTATGATTTGCATGGCAGCCATGAGTGAGAACCAGAGATGTTGGGAGAGATGAACACGTGGTCCGTGGGAACATCAGAGGTGAGAGATGAGCTATCTCAGCAGACAGGATACAGAGAGGCGCTACCTTAGAGGTGTGCTCCCGTATCAAACAACTGACCAACTGGGGACCCCTGTTGTGCATTGGGCCTTGGTGGGTGTGGTAGGCTGTTTGCAAAAATGGCCTCAATCATTTTCCTGCCTATATCCATGCTCCTTTTCAATGGCATGTTTCAAAGTCTCCCATTAGGAAGTGAGTCTATTTCCCCACCTTGGAATCTGCACTCAACCATGTTACTTATTCTGACTCACAGAATGTGGCAGGAATGACTTCAGACATGCTTCTCTTGCTTTCTTGGAATCTGCCATCATGGCTGTGTCCACAAGCCTGAGCTAGCCTGCTGGAGAATGAGGGGCACATGACTCAGTTTCCCCCACTGCTACAGCCAACAGCCAGCAACTGTCAGAAGCAGAGTTGACTGTCCAGCCATAAGCTGACCACAGACACAAGAGACCAGAAGAACCTCCCAGCTGAACCCAGCCCAAACTGCTGACACACAGAATCATGAGCTAACTAAATGGGTGTTTTAAACTACATTTTGAGTGTTTTGTTATGTGGCATAACTTATGCTAACAGCTAATTGATACAAAAGGTGTGGAGTGACTCCCTTGTCGTGAACTTCTGGGAAAAAGCCAGGCAGTGATCACAAGAATCTGACCCCATTTGGGTATGGGTCACTGGAGTAGGGGTGGGAGGACACAATGTCCAGAACAAACATTTCTTTCAAATGAATTTTTTAAAAAGTCTCCAAGCAAACAAAAAATAACCCAGATTCACATATTTCTCTGTTTATATATATTTTCTGTATATATAGACACAACTCTTCAGTAAACATTTACAAGATATGTGGGCAACACTGAAAAAAGAGGGCACTCCATAGACAAAACGACTCTCACAGGTTCAATTCCAGGACACAAAGACACACACAGTGTACAGATATCTGAATAAGCACAGTAAACCAAATGAATATGTTATTCCAAATCACAACCACAGACGCTCTCTGGAACACCACGAGAGAAGGCAGAGGAGAGATCTTGTGCTGTACTTTGAGACTAGTCTGTTAAAAAAATAAATAAGAATCAGAAGGTCTGGGACCTGGGTCTTGCTAAAACAACAACTTCTGTAGTGAACAGCTGAGTGGCAAAATACACTTCTATCTGCAGGGGCCTTTTGCATATTTTCCCCCATCTTGGGAAGGTGGGGGACCAGGGTGTGGAGATGTGGTTCTAACAGCTGCCCAAACATTACCATTAACCCTTCCTGCTTTGGTGGGCTGGGGTAAAAGCCGAGACTGGTGAAGGCTACTGTAGTTTCCCATGGAGCACTCTTCAGAAAGCAAGGGCTTCCATGTTTTCACAGGGTAGAAGGACTAACACACACTCCTCTGCAAATGTGTCAATATGCTTTACCTATCTCCTTCCCTCTCCTAAATCCTTGCTGTCACTATTTGACCACCCTAGAGGTGTCAGTTCTCCTGGGAAGAGCCTTCCTCCCTGACTCTGGGCGTTTCTCCCCCAATTCCGAGTGCATTCTCAGAACAGAAGAGTTGGCAAGACTGCTGCACTGGAAGGACAGGTGAGCAGGGTGAATTAGCTAATTTAGGGTCTGTTTGTGGATTGGTAATCCTATGTATGAAGATGTAGAGGAGACCATTCCCTGATGTAACTATGGCCCTGGTCCCAGTTCATCAGCAGACGTTTCCCAAGGAAAACACATACCACACTCTACCCCCAGGTGACCTCTGTTTTACTTTTCTTCCTTTGTCCTGAGTGAGCAAGGGCACTTAGAGATAGGCTGGCTTCCTTGGTCAAGTGGCTTTTACTAACACACAACTTCCAGGCCTCTGGGACACCAGATCCAATATGTGGAAGGAGAGGTGAGACTGTCCCTTGGAAGAGGGCAGAGGGATGTGGACTCTGTCCCCACCTGGGGGCTCTGGGCAGAACCCCAAAGAGCCCCGGACTATCACATGCCTACAGACACTTCTCAGGTTCCATTGCCCTTGCAGGAGGATGCTTCCCTTCAAAAGAAGAAAAGAAGCATCTCCTGGTGTCAGGAGGAGGAGAAAAAATGAGAAAATACAACAAATAAAATCCCAGACTCCAGGAGAGGTGTGTGAAGGACTTATGTGAGCCTTTTCTACATGGGGGAGGCCTCAGGACACAAGGTGACTTAGTATAAAGAAAGCGGGGAGGGAGGTACATTTGTAGCCCCCTCTCTAAGCCAGTTGTTCTCAAAGGGGGCAATTTTGTCCTGCAGGGGACATTGGCAATACTTGGAGATATCTTGGGGAGACAGATTCTATTGGCGTCTAGTAAGTAGAGACCAGAGATATTGTTCAATATCCTACAATGTACAGGACAGTCCCCCTCGAAAACAATTACCTGGCCCCAAATGTCACTAATGCTGAGGTGGAGAGACCCTGCTCTAGACCAACCCTGCAGTCATGTTCTGGAACATCTCCAAAGACCTCATTTAGAGTATAGAGGTAGCCCCACAGACCTCCCCTACACCAATTTCCCAAAACATTCTATTCCCAAGTCTCATCTAAGAAGATGAGGAAGGGATAGGGGAAAGTTTGGAGGGCCAGGGGAAAGAAGAGGAGGAGACCATTCTGGAGACCAGGAATGAAGATGTTGCCTCCATCTACCAACACCCCCCAACTCCCGCAAAGGAAAAATCCCAGATTTGGACAATCTTTGGTCAAACAGGAAAACGGAAGGCTGAACTGAAAGGGCAAACCCTCGACCCCACCTGCCCAGTGGCCAAAGTCAGGGTAGTTTCTCAACGCACAGAAGTCCATGCTTGTGAACAGACAGCAGATCCCCGCTCCTACGGTGGCCCTCCAGCCGGGAGGAAAGTGGGCAGGAGAGGCAGGTGGTGGCTCGGTCGACATTTGCCTGGTGAGGTATCCCTCACTTGTTCTCAATCAGAGTCTGCACCTTGTACACGAGGTCCCGGGCCAGCTTTAGGACTTGCTTGGTATTGTGTCGCTCAGCCATTTCTGAAAGAACAGAAGACAAAAATCTCATGATCCCTCTTCTGTGTCCAGCCTATCACAGAGTGGCTATGGAAGCAGAGATCTTGGGGAAGAACCCAGTTTCCTCATCTGTAAAAGCCCGCACCCCTGAGATGAGAACCCAGTCATACAAGTACCATTAAAGAATTTGATGATGTCTGTGAAATCCATGTTGTTCTCCAAGATGATGTCGCGGTAGACTTCCACAAGAGCCAGCGCGATGAACAGGACGTAGTGTGCAGATGAGACGTGTTTGGCTGCCCAGATGGTCTCCCAGACAGAAAAGACATCATCATAGATGAGTTCTACCAAGATACCAACATGCACATGCGTGGGGAGAGAGTCAGCAACAGAGCTCACGGTACTCCCTTGTGAAAATCCCTCTGGGAAAGTCCCAGGCAAGCTGTGCTTTGTGCCTTTGCCCTGCTGCAGCAGACAGAGCTCAGGCTAGGATATGGGAGACCCAGACTTTGACCATCAGAAGCCTCAGTTTTCCCCATCTGTAGAATGGGCTATGAAAACCTGGTGGGTTCTAAGTTTCTTCCAGCTCTGGCAGTCTGTGAGTGGAGGAACTGAGCATGTGCAGGTTTGATTTATATGAACCTATCCTTGCCCTGCCCCTTGCCCGGTGTTCTCTCTGTCCCTGCACCCTCCACCTCCATTAGCACCCGTGGGGATATCTCCCCTCTCTCCTGCACACAGGCAGAACTGGCTGCTGCCTCTGAGTCTAGCAAAGAGACAGAATAGAGCAATGGTTAGGGGCCAGCCCGTGGCTCACTCGGTAGAGTGCGGTGCTGATAACACCAAGGCCATGGGTTCGGACCCCATAAAGGGATGTAAAAA